GTAATTCAGGAAGGAGGGTGAGACAGGAGATTGCTACCAGTTTGAGGCTAGCCTGGGCTACATACTGAGTTCCAGCAAGTCTGAGATACAGTAAGTACAAGGTTAGCCTTAGTTACATGGTGAGTTTGAGGCCAGTCCAGGCTACCCTAGACCCTGCTCAAGAAAACAAACCAAAGTAAACAAACAAACAAAAGCCCAGAGGATTCTGAGAGGTGATTGGGTCACTAAAGTGGAGCCCCCATGATTGAATCATGGTGGATCTGTAGGAGGGTAAGAGCTGGGTGTGGTGGTACACACCTTTGATCCCAGCACTTCAAAAGCAGAGGGGGCAGATCTCAAAGTCTGAGACCAGCTTGATCTGGCAGCAAGTTCCAGGCCACCCAAGACCACATAGTGAGACTCTGTTCCCCCCACCCCAAAACAAAGAGGGCAAAACACCAAAAGAGATAGGCACACATATGTGAACTTCCAGTCTTTTGTATCACAGCAGGACTATGCCAGCAAGGCTACCACAAGATACAGACCCATGACTTTGCCCTTTCCAAATCATGAGCCAAAATAAACCTGTTCCAATAGTAAAAAAATGAACTAGTATTACAGGGTTGATAATGTAGTGTTTCTAGAAACACCTGTTTCTAAGAGGAGTCAGAGTTCCCCAACATTTCTCTAAATTTGTTTTTTATTTTTTTACTTCCCTTACACTGGTAGAGATCAAATGTTCAGATGGTGTTCCAAGCTTGGAGTGAAGGTCCAGCATTACCAGTGCCCTTCAGTGCTAGTACAACAGGATGCCTACCTCATGCTGTTATAACTAACACAGACTTGCCTTTCAGACTGCTGGAGGCAGGAAGCCCAAGGCCAGGTGTCAGCCTGGTGAGGACTTATCTTCAGAGTCACACAGACTGTGGACTTGCTGTGTTCGCACACATCACCATGGGTCTCTCTAGGCTCACTAACTGCTGCCTGTGGGCTCCCATGCAACAAAATCACCTCCCGGAGGACCCACCCTTCAATGCTATTACCTGGAGAGTTAGAGCTGTGTGACAGTGTATTAGTCAGAATTGTTGAAAGTAACAGAACTTATAGAACAACTCTCTTTATTTATAGAAAGGGGATTTATTAGCATAACTTACAGACTACGGTCCAGATAATCCAACAATGGCTGGCTATGAATGGAAAGTCCAAGAATCCAGTAGTTTCTCAGTCGGCAAGGCAGGATGTCAGCTGGTCTTCTGTAGACACTGGAATCCTGAAGAAGTAGGCTCTAAAGCCAGTGAGCAAAAGCTTCCTTCAGAAAGTGTGGCCCAGATTTAAGGTGTGACTTCCTACCTCAAAGATCTGGATTAAAAGAGGATTTACCTACTTCAAATTAAGCAAAAGTCCCTCACAGGTGGAGACGTTTGGGTTTTAGCTAATCCCAGATGTAAGCAAGTTGACAATCAAGAATAGCCATCACAAATACTAACCCAGGCTGTCAACTTGACTGCATCTGGAATCAACTGAAACCCAAGCAGCTGGGCATGCCAATGAGGGATTTTCATGACTGGATCATCTGAGATGGGAAGATCCATCCCAGATCTGGGCCATACTTTCTGGTGTCAGCCCACATGAGAAACGTGGAAGAAGGAAGCTTCTGCCTGTCACCTTCTTGCCCTCACTCTCACAGGCAAGCTCAACTGTCCTGCTGCATAGTAAGGCCCTCAAAAAACAAAAATCAAAACCAAACCTAATCTTCTAGCATGGCAAATAATACAGGTGATGATCATCAACCATGTGTTTTGTTGTTTTGTTTTTGAAGATAAGGTCTCACTATGTGGCGCTGGCTGTCCTGGAATTCAGTGTGTGGATCAGGCCTGCCTCCCTCCCAAGTGCTGGGATTAAAGGCACAGTGCCACCACCTCCAAGGCCACCCCTGCCCTGCCATTTCAAAGCGGTGCTTTTAAGGAAGGAGGTGCACCTCAGCATTGAAGCTGGAGCCCTCCCAGCATGATGGCTCACACCTTTAATCCCAGGCCTGGGGAGGCACAGGCAAGCAGATCTCCATGAGTTTAAGGCCAGTCTGGTTTACATAGTGAATTCCAGGCCACTGAGGGCTATACAGCAAGACTCTGTATAAAATAAAAATAACTTTTACTTCTTGTTACTGGAAATTTTGATGAGTCTCTTTTGGGGTATCACATGCTACCAGGGAAATTGAAGTCCCCTCTCAAGGTCCTTCATCTCAGTAAGAAGATAATGTAGAACAGACTTAGAGAGAAGCTCAACAAAAAAATTACTAGACTTTTTGGTTTGGTTTAGTTTGGTTTTGAAGATCCTCGAGTGGAAATGCTGTAAATCCCAACAGCTGGAGGGAGAAGACAGAGCAGAGGGAGAGAAATACCATGCCTTTTTGTAAAGCCACAGAGCAGGAAAGCTGGTTAGACACATCAGAGGAGAGAGAAAGTGTGACCAACCCAGAGTGTCCAGGAAAGCACATCCAGGCTCTGGCCAGTATCTGAAAGAAAAAGAGATAAAAAGGCAGTTATAGACTGTCATCTTTCTACCCAAGGCAAGAGGTAGACCCCATGCTTTTGACTAGGAAGAAATAGCTTTCCCTTAACGGTCCGCAACAGAGCCCAGATTAAGGCAACTGCAACACTCCCACCTCAGCAAGAGGTAACCTTAAAATCATTTACAAGGAGGGCTGAAATCAAGGAGTAGATATACCTTTTCAGGATGGAAAGCCAGGGACTTGTATTCAGATCTGGTCACCATCAGGAATTAGTGTCTGAATTGGAGTTTTGGTCACATTCTTACTTTTACCTTCCACATGGGAGTGGTTATTTAGGAAGAAATGAGAATTCAGGGCTCCCATCTAGTGTTCCTGGCCTGAGAACAAGGACATTCCCTACTTCTGGCCAAGGACAATAATGGAGCTACTCTGTGATGATAATTGTGTTCCCCAATATATTGAGCATCCTAATAAACATACCTGCGGTCAGAGAACAGCCACTAGATATAGAGGCCAGAAAATGGGGCACACACACACCTTTAATCTTAGCATTCCAGAGGCAGAGATCCATCTGGATTTCTGTGAGTTCAAGGCCATACTGGAAACAGCCAGGTATGGTGACCCAAGCCTTTAATCCCGGAAGTGATGGCAGGAGGCAGAAAGGTATATAAGGCCTGAGGACCAGGAACTAGAGGCTAGTTAAGCTTTTAGGCTTTTGAGCAACAGTTCAGCTGAGATTGATTCAGGTGAGGACACAGAGGCTTCCCGTCTGAGGAAACAGGATCAGCTGAAGAATTGGCAAGGTGAGGTGGCTGTGGCTTGTTCTGCTCTCTGATCTTCCAGCGTTCACCCCAATACCTGGCTCAAGGTTTGTTTTTAATAAGATCTTTTAAGTTTCTGTCTAGTCCATTCCCATCTTCTGTTCTCATCAGTGTGTGTGCCTGTGTGTGGCAGGAGCAGGTGTGTCACAGCATGTGGTTGGAGGTCACAGGGAAATTTTGTGGTTTTGGTTCTCTTCCATTTTTATGTGGCATCCAAGGATGGGACTCAGGTTGCCAGGTTTATGTAGCAATTACTTTACCTACTTGCTGATCCACCCAGTTGGCCCTCTTTTTATTATTTTGAGGCACTCTCATTAAATTTCCCACACTGGAATTTACCGTTCTCCTGCCTCAGCCTCTTCAGAGGATAGGATTACAGTTCTGAGCCACCAGGCCCTAGCTTCAAACTTTAATCCTACCAAACCTGGATTTTTGTTAACTTTTTTTTTCTTTTTGGTTTTTCGAGACAGGGTTTCTCTGTGTAGCTTTGGAGCCTGTCCTGGAACTCACTCTGTAGCCCAGGGTGGCCTCGAACTCACAGAGATCTGCCTGCCTCTACCTCCTGAGTGCTGGGATTAAAGGGATTAAAGGCGTGAGCCACCACTGCCTGACTTTTGTTAAGTTTTTAAATGATTTGTGTCAAATCCTTTAGACTCTGTATGTCTTAATCCCCCTACTGTAAAAATGAGGATTAAAAAATAAGTTAATCGCTGGACGGTGGTTGGCGAACGCCTTTAATCCCTTCAATCCCTTTAATCCCAGCCCTTGGGAGGCAGAACCAGGCGGATCTCCATGAGTTTGAGGCCAGCCTGGTCTACAGAGCAAGATGCAGGAAAGGCACAAAGTTACTAAGAGAAACCCTGTTTCGAAAAACCAAACCAACAACAACAACAAAAGCTAACCATTAAAGGAATGTTTCAAACAAGATGATTTACGGGATTAGTTCTGAGAACCTACTTGTCTGGTAACTGGTGGCCACAGTTCTTTTATGTATAAACCGTGGGGAAAGGTTAACTAGCAAACTGTAGCAGGGCTGGTTTTGTCCTTACTGGGACAAAGGCCAATTGGTTTGCTGCAGCAGCATCAAGAATCAGGGGCAGTGTGAGATCTCAAGGCCCTCCCCCAGATCTTTAGCTATAAAAGCAGTAAAAATTCTAAGGCCCATTTTCGAGACTATAGAGAACTTTTATTTATTTAGTTATTTTGTTTTTTCGAGACAGGGTTTCTCTGTGTAGTTTTGGTGCCTGTCCTAGATCACACTCTCCCGCTCTGTAGACCAGGCTGGCCTCGAACTCAGAGATCCGCCTGGCTCTGCCTCCCGAATGCCGGGATTAAAGGCGTGCACCCGGCTACAGAACTTTTTGCAAATTCAGGAATCCATCAGTTAAGGCCTTTAATTCTTATTTTCTTCGCCAGGGTTAACTAGCAGCGTCACAAACCGAATAAATGAGAAACCACATAGCCACACTTTACTGTAGGTTAAACCGAGACAGATCTTCACCAGTGCTAATGAATAAACCCTTGGTGTTCTCTGAAATCTCTTAAATACGAATTTAATGTTGAGCTGAAAACGAAATAGAATGAAAGAGCGGGGGAGGGGGGAGGCTGGGTTGTCCTTTCCTGAAGTCAGCAGCTTCCTAATTCCTCCACCGCCCACCCCTCCCTCCGCCCACCCCTGGCGAGAGCCTCCGGGGAGCTGAGGCCAAAGTCGAACTTCATTGTTCACGGGACACTCTCCAGAAGAGCCCGTTGGGCGCGCATGCGCAGAGCGCGCTCTTTGTGCCCGGCTGCTGCAAGCCGCTTGTTTGTGTCTTGCCTCCGGGCGCGGAGGCGGAGCCGAGGGCGTGGCCTGGTAGGCGCGTCCCGATTGGGCCGCCGCAGGGAGGTGGGCGGGCACGGGGCGTGGCCTCGGGTAACAACACTCGCGGCCGCGGCCCGGGCTATTTGTTGCTGCGCCGCCTCGCTCGAGTCATGGTCCTTGCTCCGAATCTCCCAGCAGCAGCCGCCACCGCCTCCCCGTGACGCCCGCTTCCCGTCTTCGGACGAACCCCGAGCCTCGCCGCGCCATGACCGTCGTCTCCGTTCCGCAGCGAGAGCTCGCTCTGGGCGGCCGCCTGGCGCCGCTCGGCTTCCTCGGGGCCCTCCCGATGGTGAGCCCGGCCCCGCCGCCCTTGCCGCGCCTTCCGGACCCGCGCGCGCTGCCGCCCACCCTCTTCCTGCCGCACTTCCTCGGGGGAGACGGCCCGTGCCTGGCCCCCGCGCCTCGCACCGCCGCGCCGTCCGGATGCAGCTTGGCCCCGGCGGCCGCCCCGCGGGCGGCGCCCAAGAAGCGGCGGAAGAAGAAGGTGCGGGCCAGCCCGGCTGGACAGCTCCCCAGCCGCTTCCACCAGTTCCAGCAGCACCGGCCGAGCCTGGAGGGCGGCCGCAGCCCGGCGCCGGGGCCGATCGCCGCGCAGGAGGAGCGAGGCCCAGCGGCCACGGCCCTGCTGCACAGACAACCCCCGCTCGGCAAGGAGGTAGGGCCGGTGGGGGCGGGGCGGCTGTTTACTCGGGAGGGAAGTTTCCGTGACGCTCGCTGGAGTCGCGGGGCGGAAGCGGGGAGGGGGGTGGCCGTGGGGGGGGGGAGTCCAGGGCCGCTGCGCTGGCGCCGCCCATTGGCTCCGCAGCCAGCCAATGGGAGCCGCGGCTGCGGCCCAGCAACAGCCCGCATTTAGAAGGTTGGCGGCGATCCAGGGGGTTTCAGCGTTCGGGGCCCGCGGACTGGCGGAGGGCTGACGTCAGCCCGCTACGTGCGGCGCTCTGGGGCGCTCATGAAGGTGGTGCTGGGTGGGGGCGGGGGCGCAGGCGCGGTGCCCACTGGGGCACCCGGGCGGGACCCGCGCGCGGCCTGACCCACGGAGGCAGTCGGACCTGGGGTTTTGGAAGTTGGCGGGAGCGTGTGTCGTGTGTCGTCAGATGGCCGACTCGAGTGTGTCCCAGCCCCCGTGCTGTGAGCGGTGCCCAAAATGAGTTTTAGAAGTTACCGAAATGAACTACGCCGATTAACTGATTTGGATGATATGGATAAAATTACCTCGGGGTTAGAGGGGTTTGAGAGTAGTCTTAGCAAAACAAAAAACAAAAAAACCTTTGCCGTGCCATTTGAAGGATTTATTCTTCGTTGATACCATTATCAAAAAGCAGTCATCGTACTGAAACTTGTACTTGATCAAGGTGTGCCCGTGGAGGGGAATCAAAATTACAGATTTTAAAGTGTTTTTATTTTTTTCATTTAATATTTTCAGTTTCAGTTTTTCACACAGGCGCTTATGTGATCTATATTAGCTTAGAACTCACTATGCAACTGAGAATAACTGATAATTTAGCCCCGCCCCCACTCCCCAAAATTCCGCGATTACAGACGTGCAGCATCACATCTGCTAAGATTAGTTCTACGATTGTTTTGAAGTATTAATCTAAAAGGCCTGGCCACGAAGATTTTAGTCTTCAAAGGCAGTATTGAAAGGGGAGGCTGTTCCACCCTTAACGATGTGTGGGTGGGTAAGTGACCTGGTACTTAGCTTTCGGTTTTTGTGTCTTTGCTATCATGCCAGTACGAGAAAGGCGAGAATCTAAATTGTAGAAATTCTCGTTTGATGAAAATTTCTGTAGGTTCCAGTTTTGGTTAGGAAAGTTACTACAATGAGCAAAAGTTTTTGTTCTGTTTGTTGGGATGAGTCAGTTTACAAGATTAGCCAAGTAGCCCAGGCTGGCCTAGATCTCTTGCTTCTTTCTGCTTTACTGGCTTCTTGGCAGGGCTTAAAAGATTTTTCATAGCCGGGCGGTGGTGGCGCACGCCTTTAAATACCAGATTTCGGGAGGCAGAGCCAGGCGGATCTCTGTGAGTAACAGCTGAAAACAAGTGTATAACACTAATAGGAATACAAACCAGATGGCGGTGGCACATACCTTTAATCCCAGCACTCTGGAGGCAGAGCCAGGTGGATCTCTGTGAGTTCGAGGCCATCCTGGGCTACAGAGTGCGATCCAGGACAGGCATCAACACTACACAAAGAAACCCTGTCTCGAAAAAAAAAAAAAGAAAGAAAGAAAAAGAAAAAGATTTTTCATGAATTTATCAAATCTGAAAGACATACAGGAACATTTTTCTAACCCACAGAGGACACTCGCTTGTTACAGTTGCTTACAGTTAGATAAGATGGACATAGTTACTTTGAATTTTTTGTTTGATATTTTACTTTATATGTATGCTGGTAACAGCATTGATTTTCATGTTTTGAGTAGCAACATATTTGGAAACCTAGTAGCAAGCACAACTAATACATAAATACTTAGTTGAAACTGGATTAAATTCTAGAGGAATTTGAAAGATGATATGCAAATTATATGATATAAAGATAACTTTTAAACTGTATTCACTTTTGTGTTCCTTTGTAGGTTTTAAAATCAAAAATGGGAAAATCGGAGAAAATTGCCCTTCCCCACGGCCAGCTTGTGCATGGTATACACTTGTGTGAACAACCAAAGATAAACAGACAGAAAAGCAAGTATAACTTGCCACTAACCAAGATCACCTCTGCAAAAAGGAATGAAAATGACTTTTGGCAGGATTCTGCTTCCCCGGATAGAATGCAGAAGCAGGAAAAAAAGCCTTTTAAAAATACCGAGAACATTAAAAGCAACCATTTGAAGAAATCAGCATTTCTAACAGAAGTGAGCCAAAAGGAAAATTATGCTGGAGCAAAGTTTAGTGATCCACCTTCCCCTAGTGTTCTTCCAAAGCCTCCGAGTCACTGGATGGGAAGCCCTGCTGAAAATCCTGGCCAAAGCCGGGAGCTGATGGCAGTGCACTTGAAAACACTCCTAAAAGTTCAGACTTAGATTTTAGTTTTCAATATGTATGTTAAACATAGATTTTTCCCAAATCCTTGGACTCTAAAAGGAAATGGATACAGCAGTGGAAACTTGCCAGCAGATGAGCTTAAGTCACACATAAGCAGCTTGTATTATATTTTATATTTTGTAAATACTGTATACCATGTATTATGTGTATATTGTTCATACTTGAGAGGTACATTATAGTTTTGTTATGAAAGTATGTATTTTGCCCTGCAGATGTGGTGGGTGTTTTGTATATATACAGTGGAGATATTTTAAGTGGTGCTTACGGCACGTGGAAGACTGTTTGCACAGGTACTGACGTTTTTTTTAAGAACAGCTGTCAGATCTCAAAAGTGAAGACCTAATGTGAAATTCATGTACTACTGAAGGTGAAATCTGGCACAATCACTGTAAACATGGAGTTTGTCTGTGTTTCTCTAAATTGACTTGCCTTTTAATCTGTAATTACTAGAAATTTTCCTGTTTTTACCAAACTTGAATTCTGGACATCAGTATGTAGCCATTATTGAGATTTAAAACGCCTCAAATTTTAAATGCCAACAAAATTGGTTGTAATCAAATTTTAAATCAATAATAATTTGGCCTCCCCCCCTTTTAAGCTAGTCTTGGCTTTTTGTGTATGACTGCTGACTGAATGGATGTGTGAGCAGCTGACTTCATGATTGGACTTTGAAATTCTTACGGTCTTTACCAATCTTACTACAAAATTTAATTGAACCTACCTCTGAGAGCAAGAATTTCTCATCTTAGAAGTAAAGCTGGTTTAAATATAGGCAGTTCTGACAGGATCTCATGTAGTACAGGCTGGCCTAGAGCTTGGCTATATAGAGGCGAGATAGCCTGGAACTTGAGATTCTGCCTTCAGTTCTCCGATGCTGGGATGGCTGGTGTGCACCACCGCCCCTGGCCCATGTGCTAGGGATTAAACACGGGGCTGTGTGCATCCTAGGCACGCTCCCTACCAGTCAACTATCTAGGTCAGGAATATGTAGTTTTTCGTTTGTTTTTTTTTTTTGTTGGAGTTTCCCATGCTGTCCTTGAACTTGTCCCATGGTCCAGCAGAGCTGAAACTTGTCTTTTTGCCTGGGCCTCCTGAGGAGCTGGTATTAAAGGCAAGCTCCCACACCTGACTTAGAATTTACTTTATATATATGAACTATTACTGCTTTACTTAAGTGCTTTTTAAACATTTTTACATAACAATTAATTTTTAATTATGTGCATGTGAGTGCAATGCCCTTGGAGGCTGGAGGAATTGGATCTCTGGAGCTCAAATTGCAGATGGCTGTGGGCTGTCAGTGCTGGGAAATGAACTCAGAAGAGCAGCAAATGTGTGTAACTGCTGAGCTCTCAAATGCCCCTACATTTTTCAGGGAGAAAAATACTACTTCTATATTAAATTAAAGGGATGAAGGAAATGGCTCAGAGGGTAAAGGAGCTTGCTTGGAAAGCCTGATTTTGATCCCTGGAACTCACTTAAAGGTGGAAGAGAGTTTACTCCACCGAGTTGTCCTCTGAGGTCTACTTGTGTGCTATGGCACATGATAACCAAACAATTGTTGCAGTGTTAGATGGAGACTTTGGAATTTAAAGCTTACATGAAGGTAAGCGGCAGTTGGACAGTGAGATAATCACATTTCTCAATAGTGTATGTGTGTGATGCTTAAAATGGAGAGACTTAAAATCCGCACTCTTTGTGGTAAAACCAAGGCTTATCCTAAGTTTTCCTGAGCAGTCCACAAATACACGAGTCAATGGGTAAAGGCACGTGGCACCAGCTTGAAGTCCCTGGAAGCCACGAGATGGACAACCTCTGTCTGCAGGTGATCCTGTGACCTCTCAGGCACCACCCCCAACTAAAAAACATTGGAAGGGTTGGGGAGATGTCTGCAAGCTTGAGGACCCAAATTTGCATTCCTAGCAGACTGAGCCAGTGACCTTGCAATCATGGAGGTAGAAGGGAGACGGAAAGATCCAGTGCTCACTGGCCAGCCAGCTCAGCAAGCCTGTGAGCCTCAGCTCCTGCAAGCCGCAGTGGGTCAGCAGGTGTATGTGCTACTGCACAGACCTGACAACTTGAGTTTCATTCCTAGAAGCCACAGGAAACAGCCTGGAAAGTTGTTCTCTGACCATGCACTTGCTACAGTACACATCCGCTACATATGTACACACGAGGTAGGGAGCCATCGAGTAAGGTATACACATGCGGTGGACAGTGTTTTATGTTTGGCCTAGTGCTGTTCCAGTGCCTGTATCCTAGTACTCAGAAGTTGCAAGCAGGAGGAGGGTACTTGTCTCAGAAAAGGGTCATGGTAGCACATCAGTGACGCCAAGTGCCAAGACCTACTGTGGTCCCTTTAAAACCAGTAATGTGGAGATTCTTAGACATTATTTGCCAAGTTCTCCAGCCACCTTGACTTGTAGTCTTGACCTGCTCAGACCAGTGTGTGTAGCTGACCTTCAGGAGATACTCTACTCTCCAATGAAGCAGTTTTGTCTATGATGCTAGTTAGTGACAGCTGATTTTTCAGCTCCAGCAGACCACCTGTTGTCTTGGTAAAGCCAAGTTCCGCATTTCAGTGGTGCCATGTGCTTGATCACAGATGATTCTTCAGCCGCAGCTGACCAGCGGCCAGAGATTCCAGAACATCACTCAGTGGTTCCTCAGAGTCTACTTTTGTCTGGAACTTAAGCCAAGCCCCTCACCTGACTTCCTTCCCTCAAAGGTGGACTGTAGGGCCAGGCATGGTGGCCACCACTTTTAATCGCAGTACTGGAGAGACAAGCAAATCTCCTGTGAGTTCAAGGCCACCCAGGCTCTGTCTCAAAACTAAACTCCCAAATTGCTTTTGGTCATGCTGTTTACCATGGCAACAGAAACAGGAGCTCTAAATGTTAATGCTGAGAAGAAACAGACCCAGGGCTCCACTGCAGTGTTTCTCCCCCGGAGCACCAAGGCCAGAACAGCTCTGGAAAGGGTGTAACTAAACACCCACCCAGTGGCAGTGGGGATCAAGAGTGGCTGACCGATGAGATTCCTGGGTCTGGTGGTGCTGGCGCAAAGCCAACAACCCCCACCCTGTTCCTGGTTCACAACGGCGTGCTGGGGAGAAGTGTGTACCGAGTGTGACGTTACAGAAAGAGAAGCCAGTCTTGCCAGTGAAAGTGGACAGTTAGCTTTCTGTTGCTGCAATAAACAACATGACAAAAAAGAAACTTTGGGCTGGGTCTGGTGGCTCACATCTTTAATCCAGCAGTCAGGAGGCAAATGGATCTTTGAGTTTTGAGGCCAGTCTGGTCTACATAGCAAGTTTCAGGCCAGACAGGGATGCATGGAGAGGTCCTGTCTCAAAACAGGAAAAAAAGCAACTTGGGGAAGCAAGGATTCATTTTATTTTACAACAAACAGGTCACAGTCTGTCACTGAGGGAATTCAGGGCAGGCCACCAGAGGCAGGAACTGAAGCAAGACCAAGTAGGAACACTTTACTGGTTTGCTCCCAATGACTTGCTCAATCTCCCAAAACAGACTCGTCCCCGCCAAGTTTCCATCTCAGACCTCTGGAAGAAGTAGAGGGGCTTTGGCAGTCTACTTTGTCATGTATCATCGTTAATGTCTACCGAACCCACCCTTCACCAAAAAAAGTTATTTTTGTTTGGTTTTAAGCATGGTCCCATATTACTGTAGTCCTGGAGTTCACTGTGAGGCCTGCCTTAGAAGGCATGCATTACCACATCCAGCTCTAAAAGGCAGCCTGTGGTGTGTGTGTGTGTGTGTGAGAGAGAGAGAGAGAGAGAGAGAGAGAGAGAGAGAGAG